CAGCCCACCCCAAATCCTCCCAACCCTTCCCAACAAATCTCAACCCTTGCGCCCACACCGCCTCACCTGTACTGCCCGCCATGCTCCGCCCACCATTGAACAGCCTCGTCATACCCCCCTGCCATCTTGGGATGTGCCGCACCCACTGCATCTCTGTACCCGCTCACGGCCCCCCGCGGCAGCAGCAGCGGCACCTGAACCATAAAGTTGCCCGCACACTCCCATCCCAATCCATCCGAATCCATCCCAATCCCCGAATCCATCCCAATCCCCGAATCCATCCCAATCCCCGAATCCATCCCAATCCCCCAATCCATCCCAATCCATCCCAATCCATCCCAATCCCCCAATCCATACTAGCCCCCACTCACCTGTACTGCCCGCCATGCTCTGCCCACCACTGCACGGCCTCGTCATATCCCCCTGCCATCTTGGGATGCGCCGCACCCACTGCATCTCTGTACCCGCTCACGGCCCCCCGCGGCAGCAGCAGCGGCAGCTGAACCATAAAGTTGCCCGCATAGGCGCGCCGGCCAAGGAGGAAATCCGTGGAGGGGCGGTGGTATCCTTGGTCCTTGCTGCCTATCAGGTACGGCCGGCCTACTGGAGATTGGTTTCCTTGGGATGGGTCTGACAGGTTGAAGAGCAGGAATGGTGTGACCTGGAGGCGGACAGGAAAAGAGGTGGGGATGGGAGGGAGGGAGGGGTGGGGGGGGAGGGGAGGGAGGGAGGGGTGGGGGGGGAGGGGAGGAAGGGAGGAGTGGGGGGAGGGGAGGGGAGGGAGGGGCAGGGGGGAGGGTGAGGGATCACCTTGGGGTTGAAGATGACGTCAGCTTGATGTTGTTGGTGACGCCACCTGAGGCTGACTATGACGTCACCTTGAGGTTGAAGATGATGTCATCATCTGCGATGGCGACGAATGGTGCCGAAGTGTAGTTGTCCACCCAGCCGTAGCTCCACTGCTGGAGAATCCACAGAAAGGCAGAAGATGGCGTCACCATGAGGCAGAAGCTGACGTCACCTTAAGGTTGAAGATGATGTCATCATCCGCTATAGCAACGAAGGGAGCTGAAGTGTAGTTGTCCACCCAGCCGTAGCTCCACTGCTGGAGAATCTTCCCGGGAAGCTTCAGGTAGTTGCGCTCGTATTTCACCTGGAAGGAGTGCAGTAGGGGAAGGAAACTTCCTACATTCAGTAGTGTATTGGTAGTCAGCATACTAAGTTTAGGGCATGTGATACATATACATCATCATAGAAACTAGAACCACATCACCATTTCATACATTGCACTCTCAACTACCTACCTGCTACCTACCATCACCGCTTGAAACCGCATTCACCTGAACCCATGGAGGCATGAGGTGCATTGCCACGTCATCCCCTTCATCCAGCACGACCACCACACGGCCAATCCCGCGCGGCCACATCAGCTCCACTGACGTCAGCAGCGAGTAGAGCAGGAAGAGCTTTTCAGAGAGGTAGCTTCGAATCACGAGGTCAACCTTTCCGGGCCAGAAGGGGCTGATAAAAGGGGAGGGGGGAAGGAGGGAGGGAGAGGTGTAGGGGGAGAGAGTGTCCAAAAAAGTGTGTCGCCAAAAGAAGGCTTCAAATCACAGGGTCTGCTTTTTTTAAGCCAAAAGGGTTTAGGGGATCAAAGAGAAATCTCATTACGGGTTCATCAAGAAATTTTCAATTATGGGTTCATCAAGAAAATTCTCATTATGGATGCATTATTATAGGGAAAAGGACACTGGCATCAAGAAAACGCAGAAAGAAGAGAGGTTTTGGAGCATGAGGGGGAAAGGGGAAGCTAGTGGGAGGTTGGGAGGGCATGAGGAGCAGAGGGAGTGAGTGACTGCAGTGCCAAAGGAGCACTAGAGAGGATGAGAAGAAATGGAGGGTAGGAACGCGGATAGAAATGGGTCTAGGGGTTAGGGTTTAGAACGGAGAGGTGAAACGAGGGGTGAGGGAATGAAACGGGGTTTTGGACAATTCTAAAAAATTGCTCAAAAGGAGGAGTGACGGAATGAAACGGGGATTGAGAGTGCGGTGGAGGACGTGTAAAAAAATGCACGTCATCAGCGTACCTTTACGCGTCATCAACGTACCGGTACACGTCATCAACGAGGGCGAAGAAATCCGAGACGCATATCCCCGCTTTAGTCACTCTCTCGCACCGCCGCCCTCCCCCGTACCCATCACCACCGTACACGTGGCGTTCGCTCAGCCCTTCGTCTCCTCTCCCTCCTACCCCCCGCAATCCCCCGTCTGCCGACTCGCCGGCTTCCGTACTACGGCTTCCCGAGGCGCTTTGCGGCGCGCTCGAAGTGCACGAGACTTGGAGCCAGCTTAAGATCCTCTCGCGCGCGCCGCTGCCGGCGCCGCTTTTTGCGGTGAACGACGCGAGGAGGAGGAACGAGATGAGGGAGAGGAGGAGAACGCAGCCAACGGTGCGGCGGACGCGCTGCTGATAGGCCGCTGATCGGAGTCGCGCCTCCATATTCTAAGTCTGCCGACGCGTCGCACTCGATGGTCAACTCAGACGCGCTGCTGATAGGCCGCTGCGCGCAAACGCGCCTCCATCGTGTTGCTAATTTAGGCGCCTCAAAAGTTGCAACTTCAATTTATCAATGTGTCAAACTAAGCATGGCAAAACCAATGTAGGCAATCCAGGCTCTACACTGTACATTCAGACGTTGTCGAAAGCCGAAACTGCCTGGAGACGATCGTGATTCGTGAATCACTGTTAAGACTGCCCGGAGACGATCGTGATTCGTGAGTCACTGTCAAGACTTCTCATAAGGGCCCAGAGGCGAGCTAGCTCCCATCGTGACGTTAAAGCCAGGGCTTCGACACTCTGCTGAGCTAGTGCTTGATTGAGACGAGAGTATGCATTTGCTCGCTACAGCTGCTGCTAATAGCCTCACCGCGCTGCGGAGTGGGTAGGATCGAGGTGGATAAGAGTTGAGGAGGTAGGTAGATCCGTCTCTTGGTCTGTCTAAGTACGTACGTATCCCTGTTACCGATACTTGACGCTCTCAGCTTCTTTTAGGCGAAACCTGACGAAAACAAGAGCGGCACTCACTCGCGGTGGACAACGCCGCCACGGGCAAAGTGATGTTTTTCACAGGCGACAGCACGAGCATGCGAAGTATGTGTCGCTACAGCTTCTTTTAGCAAGGATACCGCCAAACTGAAGCTTTCAGATTACTGAAGCACATCTCCCTATGATTCACATCACCCTAACAATCATTTGGTGCAACCACCACCACCCTATGCCTTGAAAACCAATCCCCTTCTCCCATAACCTTCCAAACAGGAGGGAACAATGGTGTGTTGCCTTAGCTTCTTCATCTGTAAATTCTAAACATGGAAACAGTTGTACCGTAACGTACATCCCTCCTTCAAACTACACCCACAGCTTCAGATCCCTGAAGCACATCTCCCTATGGCTCACATCATCCCCGCAATCATTGGGCACAACAACTACCTCCTCCCTATGCCTCGCAAACCATTCCCTCTCCCCCATCACCTTCCACACAGGCGGAAACAACCACCGCGACAACACGCCAACATTTGACCCCGGCTCGCCCTCCTCCACCATCCTCGTTATAGCCTCATTCAGCCCCACTTTTAAGCTCTCCGACGCGGACAGCGAGCGCACGAGGGAGTTTCTATGCGCCACGGCTGTTCTTTCTCGGTAATCTTCCAACGAGAGAACAGCCCATTCTTTCAGCATCAGGAGAATTGGCCGGGATGGGCGAAGGGCGGCGAACCAGGGAGAGAAATATCCCAAGTCGGGGCGAGAAATTGGTAGGGTGCGTTTGAGTTTGCTGTCGATTTTGTTGTTGGAGGGCGGCGGTGGTTGGGTGGATGAGGGGACGGAGGAGGGGAGGGCTGCGTTGAACTCTGGAGGAAGGAACGGGAGCGGGTCTTGGAGCCATACAGAGGAAATGTCACTGCATGTGGGAGGGGCAAGAGGCAAAGAGGTGGTTGCGTGGATGAAGGGACGGAGGAGGGGAGGGCTGAATTGAATTCGGGAGGGAGGAAAGGGAGGGGGTTTTGGAGCCATACAGATAATATGTCACTGCATGTGGGTGGGAGGAAGAGGGGGGGAGGGTAATAGGGGAGTGAGGGAGAGAGGTGACACGAGGTTTATGCAAGGCAAACGGAGGGAGGAAGGACATTGTAGTCAGGCTTCGGCACTCGCTCCATGAACAGCGAGGGAGGTTAAGTGATCAAACTGCCTCATGCTCCTGCACCATGCTGTAGTGCTGTAGTGCTGTAGTGCTGTACTGTACCTGTAGATGACATTGTAGCAGAGCTTCAGCACTCGTTCCATAAGCAGCAAGGGCAGCAGCAGGCACGTGAGGGCTGCCTTTGTAAAGAATGCACTGTACCTGTACACTGTTCCTTTAAGAACCTGTAGCAGGCAACATACTATCTCTCACCTGTAGATGACATTGTAGCCGAGCTTGAGTACTCGCTCCATGAGCAGCAAGGGGGGGCAGCAGGCACGTGAGACGAAATAATTCTCACATGTACCTTTGATTTCTTACTCACCTGTAGATGACATTGTAGCCGAGCTTCAACACTCGCTCCATCAGCAGCAAGGGCAGCAGCAGGCACGTGAGGGCTGCCTTGTGGTCTGACTCGCTCTCCTCTGGCTGCCTCAACAGGCCTTCACTCGTACCCTCCACCTGTCAGGGGGGAAGGAGAGGAAGGGCAGGGAGGAAGGGAGGGAGGGACGGGAGGGCAGCAGCAAGCATGTGAGGGCTGCCTTGTGGCCTGACTCGCTCTCCTCTGGCTCCCTTAAAAGGCCTAGGCTCGTGCCCTCCACCCGTGGGGGCAGGTGGGGGAGGGGCGAGAGGGCAGGGAGGGCAGTTGAAGCAGTTGGTGAAGAGACAGAAGCAGCAGAGAGGGCATGGCGTCGTACTGGATGGTGAAGAGAAAGGCAATCACATGCCCAGCCACATGCCCTCAGACCATACACTCTCATGCACGTGCCTTCTACCTACCTCATGCCCTCAGGCCCTACCGCATACCTCCTGTTTTGAGTCGACTCATAACAAGGCAGTCACATGCCCGGCCACATGCCCTCAGGCTACACACTCTCATGCACGTAGCTCTAACCTCATGCCCTCAGGCCCTTATGACATACCTCCTGGGGCACCAAAGCCACGGCAGCAGAGTGCATGGCGTTGAGCCAGTTGGTGGTGAAGACAAGACATCATGCCCACCCACATTGCTCTTCCGGCAAACGTTCCCATGTCGAAACCCACATGCCTAGAGCGCACCCCTTGGGGCACACATTTTCCTTACAACGTACCTCTTACCTCATGCCCTCAGGCCCTTACGACGCACCTCCTGGGGAACTGAGGCGATTACATGGCCAGCCATGGCAGCAGAGTGCATGGCGTTGAACCAGTTGGTGAAGAGCGGCACTTGGCCTGGTAGTGTTGGGGGGGTGAACAGGGAAATAGGGATGCGGGGATAGGGAATGGCAGAGAGACGAAGGGAAGATGGGAGGTGTGGCAGTGGAGCAGAGCAGAGTGCATCGCATGACACCAGTTGGTGAAGAGATGCATTTGCCCTGGTAGCGGTCAGGGCGCAGGAGAGGGTAAGGGGATAGCGATGGCGGGTAAGGGGATAGGGAAATATGGGGATAGGGGATGGGTTTTGAGCGGACTCAAAACACGAAACATGGGGATAAGGGATGGGCACAAGAGAATCCATCTGTTGCACGTGTGACGCTCCACCCTCGCATGCAACCTCGCATGCACCCAAACACCCACTGTTCCGCTTGTACCTGCACCCACCCACACACCCACCCACACACCCACCCACACACCCACACACCCACCCACACACCCACACACCCACCCACACACCCACACACCCACCCACACACCCACCCACACACCCACCCACACACCCACCCACACACCCACCCACACACCCACCCACACACCCACCCACACACCCACCCACACACCCACCCACACACCCACCCTTCCACTCCTACCTTTGCACGCCGCAGTAACAATCACGAAGCGGTCGGCTGAAGCCACCATGGGCACAAGCGGGTCCATCTGCTGCGCGTGACGCGGCACCCACGGCTGCACCACAACAGCAGCAACAGCATTCTACAGCCTACCTTTGCACGCCGCAGTAACGATGACAAAGCGGTCGGCTGAAGCCACCATGGGCACGAGAGGGTCCATCTGCTGCACGTGGCGCGGCACCCACGGCTGCACAGACAGCAGCATCACCTCCTCCTCCGATACATGCATCTCAGGACACAGCAGCCCCACACAGACACAGAAACACCCACACACGCACTCACCTACTGCTGCCACTCCCACACTGGCATGGACTCACCTTTACACGCCACAGACACAATCACAAAGCGCTCGGCTGAGGCCACCATGGGCACCAGGGGATCCAACTTCTCTAGATGCCGCGGCACCCACGGCTGCACGGACAGCAGCACCACCTCCTCCTCTGATACATGCATCTCAGGACACAGCAGCCCCACACCACCTGCCCCAGTTGCTGCCACTCCCACTCAGGACAGGACACAGCAGCCCCACACAGCAAGGGCCCGAGTGCTGCCACTCCACTCCCACATGCGTATGGATGCATGGACTCACCTTTGCAGGCTGCAGTGACGATCACAAAGCGGTCAGCTGAAGCCACCATGGGAACAAGAGCATCCATCTTCTCAACGTGACGCGGCACCCACGGCTGCACGGACAGCAGCACCACCTCCTCCTCCGATACATGCATCTCAGGACACAGCAGCCCCACACAGAAGGGCCCCTTGTCCCCTGCACCCACACTGCTGCTGCTGCTGCTGCTGCTGAGGGTGCTGGTTTCGGTCGTGCTAGGCCACTTGCTGTCCTCGTTTGAAAAGGAAGCAGGCTCAGACTTCGTCCCTGCTCCTGCTTCCCCTTCATTCAGCCTTTCCCCGCCTCCTGCTGTTGCTGCTGCTGCTGCTTCCCCTCTTTCTCCTCCTGCTGCTGCTTCCTTCCCTCCACTCCCTTCCCCCGTTGCCGCCGCTGCTGCCGCCGCTGCTGCTGCATCCGACTCGGCAATCCAAACCCCTATTTTGTTCAGAGCATACCTCTTGGCGTCTTTTCCCATCAGCCCGCCCGCATGCACGGTCACCAGCTCCCCCTTCAAAGCCTCCACCGTCGCCCAATCATCCTCCAGCAGCAGCTGCCCGGACAAAAATTTCTGCGCGGGCAGCACGGCGATTCTCGGCAAAAGACCGAACTTATCCATTTCAACAATCAGCGCGTTTAAGTGCTCCTGCTCTGTCCCTTCGTCCCTCCCTAACTTCATCAGCCTGTTCGCCCAGTCCCCCACCAAACACTTAGCTCCCGACGTCGGGCGGAGAAAAAGCAGCGAGCTCGAAACGGAAAGTTTTCGGTCAGCTAGCTTCGCAACGCCGTAACTCTCCACCTGAACCGCTTTCTTCTGCCAATTCGACTCGTA